TTTTTTTTTTTTTTTTTAATATATATATCTTTATTGATCTCAGAGAGAGGGAGAGAGAGGGAGAGTTTGATGCTCAGCTGCTGGGCGACACTGGCAGGGCATGGCAGTTTGTTCTTCATCTGTGATTAATTTCTACTTACTTAGAAACACAGACCCCCGAACATGCCGTGCAGTCACACTGAAATTCTAACTTATTTAAATGTGTGAACTGTGGCAACTGAGGAGGGCAAAATGGTAAATTTAGTTTACAACATGCGTGTGAATTTTAGTGCTTATTTGTGGAGTCACTTGGTGTTCAGTTAACAGTATGAACAAGTTGCTTGTGTCTCTGAGATTCCATTTTTATCAACTGGAAAGGAGGGCTTTGGGAAAAATGTTCAATCTCTAAGGGTATTTCTGGCGTTAATAATCTAGGTTAAATAAGATCAATCTTATTTGATGTAAGAGGCGCATATCTTCTGCAAACCCAGTCATTGATCTGATTCATTTATTTTGTTGCTCTGGTTTTAGTTGTTTAGTTCTGACTTTCATTTCTCTTCACCATTCCTATGGTTCAGTAGTACCCAATCTTTGTCATCTTTTAATTTTTGAAAACTAAATCATAGTACTAACCTTAAAGCCTATTGTATTAAATGATTCATGTGTTTCTTTGTACTTGTTCCTTTACAAGGTAGGTACAAAGACATAGACCCAAAGATTGGGGGGATCAGGTTCTAGATTAATCATGTTAAAACGAACCGATGTGAAAATATGTGTCTGTTGCTTGTATCCATGTTGTTTCTATTTTTGGAAGTTGTTTCAGTGTCTAGAAATTCTGACTGAAACGAGAGAGGAGCGTTTAACTTCTTCCAGAATATTTTTATTTCAGTACTGAGATGTTAGGATGAAGGATGTTGCATTTTTTGAGTACTTGATAAAGTCTTTAAAACGAGAAGGCTTTTTTCTCTTTGGTATGGTGTTTGCAAGATCAAATGTAAAACATGGGCAGTTTTTCAGGTATTGTATAATTACATCATTAAGGGCCTAGAAGATGCTGTTCTGAGCCCTAAAGTGGGTCTGCTGAGGTAGCACAGCTCTTTCAGTTTAATTAAGGGCCATCCATGGATATCAGTTGTCCTTCATGTCATTTTTGTCAATAAACCAAGTACTGTGCTTCTATTTTAAATAAGTTCTTTGGCGGTACCACAGAGCAAACTACAGTTTATTATAAAGACTTCCTTTTACATAACCTTTTCTAACTCCTTCCATAAATAAGATATACTTCTTTTTATCCCAAGTTTGTGCAGTAGGTTTTGTTTATAAAGAAAATATTAAGGAGTTACTGAGAATTGAAAAAGCCATTTGCATTTCACCATGGAAATCTCTTTTTTCAATAAAGAATATGTGATTTGTGGGCCAAATTGAAATATGGAAGTTGGGAAGAGAAGTTGGGAAGTTTGGCAGAGAAGAGAAAAAGCTGATCCCAAATGAACATTAATTGATGTAGGCTATGTTATTTCAAAGAAAATAATAAAGCTGAACAGTTATATCAGTTAAAGATGCTCCTAGTATACCTTGGTAGCCAGGACTGTGCAGTCTCATCTAGTTTCTTTTCTAAGTTAAATCCCCCCCCAAAGTCACTTACCCTCAGAAAAAATAAATGTTTATTCAGATCTTTGCATTGACTTAAAAGAAATTGTCTCACTTAACTGAATACCTGGTTTCAGACCACTGGCCCTGGATCATTTTTGTTCTACTAACACTATAGAGGATGTGTGTTATGTTCCTATGATCTTCCAAAATCTAATAATTATATGCAAAAAAAAAAACCAGTAAAAAACAAACACAAGATATTGATGGCATTGAAATAATCTTTTATGGATAAAATCTGTTTTATTGGCTAATGATTGTTTTTATAAGGTCAGCCTTACTGTACTTTAAGGGTTTATTGTTGAATCAAGGGAAATGTTTTGGAAATAAAAATCCAGAAGAGCTGAATTGTCGTCCTTTGGCTATAGATCTCTTAACCTCATCAAACTTCAGTTTTCTTAGCTGTAAAATTGTGACTAACCATAACCTTCCCTGTCTACATCCCCTGTTTGTTGTGAAGATCATGAGATAATCTATAGGAATCGCCTTTGAATATTGCATGTTACCCAAGCGTATAAACAGACCAAACCCATAGTCTAATGACAGACCTGTCAAGTTCCATTGCAGCTAATTCCAGCATTCTGTTCAAATCCACGTGTTGTCCTGAAATGCTCTCATCTTAATTATTGCCTGAGATAAGGGATCATTCTCTGGGGCTTGGAATTTTCCCCCTAGAGTTTGTTGTGTCGTAACAGTAATTTTTATAACAGGTTTCAGGTGCACAATTCTACAACACATCATCTGTACACTGTGTTGTGTGGTCACCATCCCAAGTCAAGTCTCCATCCATCCCCATTTATTTCCCCTGTACCTTCCTCCCCCTCCTCCCACCCGCCCTCACCCCAGCAAATAGCTACCATATTGTATGGCACAGCTCCAGCATTTTAGCTCCAAGAGGGCAAAGACTTGCCTGTCTTGTATGTAGCTGTGTCTCCAGGGCCTTCAACAATGCCTGGTACATAGGAGGTACTGAAAAAATACTTATGTTTTAAATCCTCACCTGAGGATATGTTTAGAGAGAAGAAGGGAGAGAGAGAGAGAGAAACGTTGATCAGCTGGGATTGAACCCACAACCTAGGCATGTGTCCTGATTGGGAATTGAACCTGTATCCTTTTGGTGCATAAGACGATGGTCCAACCAACTGAGCCCCCTGGCCAGGGCTGAAAAAACACTTTTTGACTGAATAAGTGACTAGATCATTGGCTATGAAGTCAGGTGACTTGGGCGGTAGTCCCAATAATTAAGTTGGTGTTCTCATGCAAATAATTTGATTTCTCTTTTATAAAAATGGCTTTTCCCATATATAAGAGCTGTACATATTATATTAGGCACTGTGAAATGCAGGAACAGATTAGGGAATTGTTACTATTCATAGAGGGGGTGGTGGTGGTAATGGTTATTCTGATGGTGCTGAGAGGATTAGGGAATAAGTCTGAAACTTTTGATTATATTTCTTGAGCACAATATTAAGTGTAAATTTTTAAAATTTTGATTAATTCTCTTATTCCTTCTATTATATGTAGTTGTGGCCTTTTGCACCCCCATGGGGACAAGCAACACATCTGTTTACATCATGCTTTTTAACAAGATTCAATAAATGATGTGTGCCTGTGCGTGTTTATTAAATTAGAATTGCAATGATTTTATTCATTCTGTTAGAAGGCTAAGAAATTGCAAGGCACCATCTGTTTATATAAGCATTGGAGCCAATTTCCTAGGGCTTGAGCCAAGGGAGCGCTTTTGGCTTTGCGGTTGACCATGCTTGAGGGAGAGCATGGATTTGTGGGGGTAGAAGGGACATCCAAAGGTCACTGAATCATTTGGGCTGTTCTACAAATAGACTTCACCTAAATCATCTGAGGCACTTGGGCATCTCTCCCATTTTTAAAGGCCTCCAGGCACAGTGATTCTCAGTCTCTCTTAATAGTAGTTTCCATTTTTCAGAAATGTTATTATTAAAAAGTTGGAGATGAATTTAAACAAAGGTGAAAACCTTTGTCCTAAAGGAATATATATGTGAATTTATTTTTTCTGGAGACTTTCTTTTTCTTCCTTAAACAAAGGACACAAGGCATGCACTTAGCCCTCCCACACCTGGACACCTTGCTGAGTGCTTTCTGTCTTATTTCTTACCTCTCTAGTAGTACTTCCAAATGGAGGCCAGAGATCTATTTGCATCAGAATCACTCACATGCTTACTAAGAGTGGCACTTTCCTGTTTCCCAACCAAGTTAGGCTCTCTAGATACGGCCCCCCAATGCTGAATTTGAGCCCCCTGGCTCAGGTCTGAGAACAGCTGCATCTGTTCTTTAGGATTCAGCTCAAAGTCCTTTTTCCTTCATCAATCATATTTGATTAATCAACTTTATCACTCAGTAGCAATGAACTGATCTCCACATCTCTGTGTGATTATTAAACTTATTCATCTACCAGAGTATCACCTCGTGGTGAGGTAGCAGCAGCGCAGCTGCACGTGATGGATAAAGCAAACATGTTAGTTAGAGACCCGTTTTATTTATTTGTTTGTTTCTGTGAAGCTGTGGTAATGGCCACCCTCTACTGTGGTGCTCAAAGGCTTTTATGTAAAAAAAAAAGAATCATGGGGAACTTCTTTGTCTTCTTTATATCAGATCTTTTTATTAGTGTTTTAATGGTACTTCTATACATGTGTTTATTAAAAGTAGTCTTATTCTTTTTGGCTATAGGTGAGATATTGCTCCCACATACTGCACTTTGATCTAGAATAAAGTAAAGTAAAATAAAATAAAGCGGATTTTAGGTTCTCTGCTTCCGTTGTTGCCCGTGTTCATGGTCTGGCCCATGATGTGACTTTCTGGGGTGTGATGCTCACTGTATGCTGTTCTGTTCATGCTTTCTTGACAATTTTCCACACAAGCCCAAATATAAGGAGAGGCTTCTCCTACTTCTACAGTTATCCCTGAAAAAGAATTTCATTTTATATTTGAGTCCTTATGAAGTTTCTTCTAATGTGGTTCCTCTCTGTTACTGTGTTTAGAATAATCAAGTACTCTCTGGACACAATATATTACCTTGAATGACTTCAATCAGTGCTAGTTTTGAATGTTATTGGGGTTACCTGATACATTATATTTAAAAAGACACAGAAAGAAACTTAATATAGAGTTGGATGTCATTGTAAACAAGCCACTTAAAAGATTTCTTAAAAGATGTCTTAAGGGTTATTACCTGGAGAACATGATTATACAGCTATAAGATGAATTCTGAAGAAACCAACTTGCTTTGCGATTCAGAGCTTGTGGCACAGGATAAAATGTTCAGCAACAGTGTTATTCACAGAATCAAAAAGTGCTTTATTTAAAACAACTCGTATGGATCTGAAGATGGTAAGCTTTGGAAAACTAAAAAAGTGGTTCTCATGGTGATACAGATGCTAATGGTTAAGTTACATGTGAAGGTTTGAATAAAATTTTTTAATGATGTGAGCGTTGAAATAAAAAAATGTGTTTTTATTGATTTTAGAGAGAGAGAAAGGGAGAGGGAGAGAGAGAGAAACATCGATGTGAGAGAGAAACATTGATCGGCTGCCTCCCACACACACTCCTGCAGGGGACTGAACCTGCAACCCGGGCATGTGCCCTGAGCAGGAATCAAACCAGCGACCTTTGGTTCATGGGATGACATTCAACCAACTGAGCCACACTGGCCAGGCGTGAGAATTGAAATATTTTTTTAAATTAATATACTATTTTTAAAAAGTACATGATTTAAAATTTGTCTAACTAAATTAATAATGTACCCATTGTAAGTAGACTGGTATTTTATCTGCATCTCTAAAAGTTAATATATTCAAGTTGGGTTCAGAAACCTTTTATTTTTACTTTACTGGAGTAGCCTTCAACATGCCTTCATACCTGGGTACATGGATGATTCTGTTTTTTCTCTCTTTTCCACTCAGATGCAAACATCTTGGGTGCAGAGGTCACATCTAAGTGCAGCTCTGCTAAAGCCATCACATCACATTCTGGCACTGTTCCCACTACTTGTGGATTCTCACTAAATGCTGGCTACTGCTACTGATGATGACAACTGTAGCATTTGTATGCTAGGACACATCTCGTAGTTTTATTTGTGCAAAATGTCCGTTGATTCTGTTGGCACTTTTAAAGAAAAAGTTTTTTCTCAGCTCTCATGCTCTATGCAAAGTAGCAAGTATACATATATCCATATAGATTAATTGTGTCTAATCAAAAATATTCTGCTTTCAGTGGGTTCCTCAAGGAGAGAAGGAGTTCCTGCCCATGTTAATCTCTCTGCATCATCCATGCTCATGATTGCAATGCAGTACACGTCCAACCCAGGTAAGGGGAAATTTGGGTGGCTTGACTAATCCCCAAACCAATAATTAAACGAGACATCAAACAAGCAGGCTAGAAATTCTCATGTGATAACTTCTCTTGGTGGATAGACAAGTGAAGATATGTTAGAAAACAGACTTTTGAGTTGAAATAAATTTCCCTTGCCTGTTTCTATCAACAGTAATCTTGTAGGCTAGCATTTTCAGAATGTTTGAGGACATGATTTTAGAACATTGGCTGGAAATTGATTGAATGTAAGTATACAGGAATAGTTGTATTAGAAATAGAAAAATCACCTGCAATTCTAATAATTAAAGAAAACCATTGTTAATAATTTGTGAATTTGCTACTCTAATGCCACACAAGTATCCTTGAACATAAATCTTTTACTACATTTTAAAATTATTTCCTTAGAATAAATTCATAAAAGAGGGATGAATTGGTTAAAGGACTTGAAAAATTTTCAGTAGTCTCACTAATTATATATGAAAGTATACATAGCCTGTCATTGAACATTGTTACACAATTTGTATAGAGTCGGACAAGTGAGAAGTAATATCTAGTTTTGGTTTGTGTTTCTTTGATTACTGGTGACATTGGACAGGTTTCCTGTGATTTACTCTCTCTGGTTTCTGTTCATCCGTATAATTGCAGGTGATCTTTCGGAGACTCACCTAAAAAGGGGCTGACTGTTGGCGTCACATGCTAAGATATGAACATTTTTATTTTTATTTGATGTTTATTTGGAAAGTGATCAAATTTGATGGACTTGTTTTCAACCTTCTACTTAATTATGTAGTAAATACTGAGGTTTTGACTCAATGAGGAAAAACATATTTTTCATTTTAAAATCTTAATTCTTCTAGTGTGGAATGCCGTCCTTTAAATGTGAAACCCAGTCCCTTAGGATTATTATATGAGTTTGATGAAAATGTATTCACTTTGGAAGTTATATCTCATAGCTCACTTTGGCTTGAATATCCTTAAAATGTCATTTATATTATATGTTATGTTCTGGAAACAATCCTTCATTTGGAATCCAGTTCATTGAAAACGTCTCGTCATGAGGCTTTGGTCCTGATGTCTAAGTTGGGAGGCAGTGAAGCAGCGCTTTGAGGTTAGATGTATGTGGGTTCACATCTGTGCTCACCTGCAAGTTGCCAGTTAGCGTAACCTTGAACTTGTCATGTTTGCAAATAGCTGTCACAGTGGAGGTTATTATATTTTTATACAGCCACACACACAAACAAGTAATAGATCCGTCAGAGCAATTAAAGCAGTGTCTCCTGGTGTGCCTCTTTCCTTTTATCCAAGAGAAAAACAGAAATCTCACAAGTTCTCTAGCAGGTTCTCCCTTAGGTCTTGCTGCCGCAACTGAGTCAAATGGCTGTCCCCAGCTGCAAGCTGCACTGGGACAAGGGCAGGTGGAAAGGGGTTGTTGATAGCAGTTGAGTAGCATCAATAGTGTCTGTTACGGGTAATAGGAGAGGGTCAGTCATGAAGTCAAGGGAAGAAAGGGTTTTAAAAAGAAGGCAGTGGTCAGTACTGAATGCTGCTGAAAGTCAAATAAAAGGCAGACGGAAAACTGTCCATTGAGTTGAATGACTTGAAGGTCACTGGTGACTAATGTGAGATCTACTTTGGTGCCACAATAGAGTTGGAAGATGGATTAGGGAAAGTAAAAAACAGCTATTTAACTAGGGTGAAAGTATCTCTCTTCCCTCAGTAAGCATAGGCAAATCAAAGAAGCTTGCTGTTGTGTAGCTTTTAAGAATTCCTCAACAGATGGAACTGGCAATCAAATGATAAGACCCCGTTCTAGTCCATCGTTGTAATCCATCATGCTGTCACTTGCTATCTGCCCAAACTTGGCAAGGTAGGAAACAGTCTCAGTTTCCTAACTGCAGCACGGCAGTTACGGGATAATCCACATACAGCTCTGAGCACAATACTTGGCATAATGAATGCTCAATGAATGTGGCCTTTTGCTACGATCCTGTTCGGCTCTTTTTCCCTATGTAGTTCTTGATTACGTGGATATAAGAGTCTGTTGTAACGGTATGATTACTGGGGATTTTTCTTAATATTTCCTTTGTCGATAAGGTGAATGAAATATGCTTCTCAAGGATCTTGGAATAAAGCTTGATAAAGTCAAGGGCTTGTATGATTTTTTAAAAAGTGTGAATATATGGAAAAAAGTAATTTCTAATTTAATGATCAGAGTGAAAGTCTTACTAATATAGTTTATTATATCTCAAAAGATGTTTTATCTGATATCTACATTTCATGTTCAAATTACATTTCTTCCTTACAGTGTATCATTGTCAATTACTGGAATGCCTCATGAAATATAAACAAGAAGTCTGGAAAGTAAGTTTTGGGCCACATTTAACTCATAGCCACAAACTCCCCAATTTATATTATATAGTAAAAACTGTTTGCATGTCAGAAGTATTTATAGGTCAAATTTATTGATGCCTCATTATTTTGGTGTGGCAGAGCCTGTAATTCTTTCCTTACTTGTCAATTGTTTATCATTTAGAGCAGGAATGATCTTGAACACAGTGGCTTGACAGAAAAAGTAATGGAATACCTCTTATTCTTGGAGTTTAGCAAATACTATATAATATGACAACTTTATTTGATTTGAAAGGTTGCTTAAGAACCTGTCTTCTTTCAAATAGGAGATGTGAATTGTTAAGAAATGTGTTTTAGGAAAAAGAATTTTTAAAATGTAGTGTTTAGCAAACTGGCTTAAGCTGTTCTAAAGTCTATAACATTATTCGGAGTAGAGAAGAATTTGTTAAGAGATAGTGTACATATGAACTCTACCTGGGGGCTTATTTACAGGACCAATAAGTAAATGATAAAAAATCATGTTTTAATATGATCGAATCTGAGAAGCACACCTGGTTGATGAGATTCCAGGGGAATTAACCACCTCAGCCCCTCTATTGAAATTTTCACTGCTTTGGTATTATTGAATGAGCCACTTTTATTTTTATTTGATCATGCTAAGTCAAAATATTCTTCCTGTTTCCTTCAGGATCTTTTGTATGTGATTGCCTATGGGCCTTCACAAGTAAAACCACCAGCTGTGCAAATGCTGTTCCATTACTGGCCCAATTTAAAACCTCCTGGGGCAATAAGTGAATACAGGGGCTTGCAGTACACAGGTAAGGAGAGAACAGCCCTGTGATATACCCTGTCTTTATTTCTCCTAGGCCACATTTGTTTCACCTACTTATATTTATTTTTATCTTGCTGGATTATATTTCTGTGCCTTTAGACATTGTCATAAATCCTTTCTGAAACTAGGTGGTGTAAAATAAATAAATTACAACTAATTTCAAAAGTATTTATGACACCATAGTGTAAGTCTCAGTCTCCTTTGCTACCCATGTGCCCCATGGTCTTAACTACTGCTGATATTAATCACTGCAAGGTGTGAGCTGTGAGTAATGCTGCACATTTGCTCACCGTGTAGCAAAACCCCAGGTGGCTAATTCTGTTCTGATAAGACGACTTGGGGCATGTTCAACATTTCCAGTTCATATGCTAAGTAAAAATTAAATGACCCTGGTAGCCTAGTTGGACAGGAAGAGTCAACAGTTGCTGAATATTGGTGTCATTAATAACTGAGAAGTAAACATAGAATTTAAATATAAAGGCATATATTTACCAAAAAACAAACCAACCCCAATCCTATGTTGTGGTTTATGTTTATATATTATAAAATCAAAGAAGCAACTTGTGGCTAATAGAGTTTCGGATGCTCTTGACTACCTTTTCCCTCCACTAAACTGTATTCATAGTTTTCTGAAAATGGGAGAGGTGGATGTTTTGGCAAAGTTAGCTTTTATTCAAGTTATTGTGGGTTACGGATGTTCTAGAACCCACTTCTTTCTTAGCATCACTCATCTTTCCTAAGGCAATTTGAGGTGGCTCAGAGGGGATTTAACTTAATTCTGGTCCTGATTAATTCTGTTCCTTATGTTCCTGATTAAAGCCAAGTGTTAGAGTTATTAATATCTGTTTTATGGGCTTTGATGATCCTTGGTGGCTTATTCTAAACTCAGAACAAATAGTATTGGCTATAGTGGTAGCAATAATATTAATTAAAACAATGAAGGTAGATAGTAAGTGATTTTTAAAAAATGGAAATTGGTATCATTGGTGTTTTATATCATTGATGGTAGAGAATATTGAAGTATTGCTAACTGGATAATTTGAATGTAAAAGCAAAAATAGTTGGAAGCATTAATAAAATAAAAGATAAAAATGATTGAAATAGTTGATACCAACCCCTCTCAACAGATCTCTGAAATAAGCACTTACAAGATGTAACCAGTATTAAATGAAATTTATTTATTTGGTAAATATTTGAAGAGTAACTCTAATGTGCCAGGCCCTGTACATTTTCACACAAAACCAGATCTCATGGAGCTTAATACAGTCTGGATATGAATATTCATTCATTTATTCATCAAATATTTATGAGGTGTCTACTATTAACCAGGTATTATTCTAGGCACTGGTGGTAATACAATGAAAAATCATACTAAGATCACTAATATCTTGGTATGTGCATTCCATTTGTGTGGGAAAGACCAGGAAACCGCCTTAAAGTGTGATAAGTGATAAGGCAGAGCAAATACAGTTGGCCTTTGAACAACTTAAGAATTAGGGATGTTGATCCCCCCATCCCCTACACAGTTGAAAATCTCTGTATAACATTTGACTCCTCAAAAACTTAACTACTAATAGCCTACTGTTGATGGGAAGCCTTATAGATTATAATTGATTAACACATATTATATATGTTATATGTATTATAGACTATATTCTTTTTAAAAAAATTATCTTTATTGTTGGAAGAATTACAGATGGCCCCCTTTTCCCCCATTGACCTCTTCTTCCCTGCACCCGACAAAATAGATCGTGATATAAAGTATGCTATATTCTGAAGGTAAACTAGACAAAAGAAAATGTTAAGAAAATCATAAGGAAGAGAAAATATATTCACAGTATTTATTGAAAAAAAAATCCATGTATGAGTGGACCCGCGCAATTTAAACCTGGGTTGTTCAAGGGCCAACTGTACAGAGAGCTGTGGGAACATACAGGAGGGACCTCTGACCTCACCCTGATGGTGGGCAAGTTTGAGGAGGGTGAATTACCAAGAAAGGTCTTTAGTGAGTGACATGTAAGCTGATACTTGAATGAGATGCACACACTAGACATCATAAGGGGAGTGAATCAGCAGATGAAATGTGAAATTGAGGTAGAAGGAGCTGCACAGGTTTGGACTTGGGGCCAAAGATAGCATGACTGTATTTTAGTTACTAAAAAGTCTAATGCAGCCAGACAATGGAGGGACAGGAGGAGAGTAGCTAGGGGTAAGCAGAAAGCCTGGTGGGGCCTGTGAAGGAGATTGGATTTCATCCTAATGGCAAAGGGAAACCACGACAGGTTTTAAATGGAGAAGCCACATGATGAGATTGGCCTATTCAGAGCATCTCAGAGGCCCCGGGAAACTGACAGCTGCTTTGGTTTCCCACTGTAACCACACCCTCTTGGTAGAGCCAGGCAAACCTATCTCCCCAGAATAACTCAGCCTATGCCAATTAAGATCAGAGCAGCTCTTTCTTTTTTACTTGGCCTATCGGAACAGGAGTCTGTCTACAGGCATTAATTCTTCAGTCCATCCTTGTAATTACATCTCCACACACTTCCATTCTTTCAACAGTGTTATTATGTGCCTAGTACCTGCCAGGCACTGTCCAAGGTCCTGGGAAGCAGCTCTCTTAGAACTCCCTTTCCAGTGGATCATGGCATTCTATGCAGAAAATAGATCATGGAAAAAGTTAACCATTCTAGTCCATATATTACTATTTATTCAGCACTGTCTGCTTGTCAGACATTGTCCTACCTGCTTATTATCTCATTTAATCTTTTAGGGTTCTCCTAATTGAACAAAATTTATGGACCAAGCACCAGATTAGATTTTACAGACATCGTATCAAAAATCTTGAGAGGCAGGCTTTCTTATTTCAATGTTACAGATGAGGAATGGGACACAGTTTAAGTAACATCCCTAAATTCACATAAATAATAAGGAAACACTGCTTGAATTTGAACCTAGACTATCTTCATTGAAAACCTACATTTTTCTGGTCTAAGAGTGTGATGTCACTTTTCTCAGTTCTTTAATGAAACTAGCTGGAGCATTAGAAATTTTCTGCCATGCTTTCTGCAATGAAGGATGCACTAAAGGGTATCATCAGTATTTAGATTGCAGTGCTACCCTAAATATTCTTTAAAAAAAAAAATCTTTATTGATTTCAGAGAGAGGAAGGGGGAGGGAGAGAGAGAGATAGAAACATAAATGATGAGAGAGTCCGTGATCGGCTGCACCCTGCATGCCTCCCAATGGGAATTGAGCCCGAAACCTGGACATGTACCCTGACTGGGAATGGAACCGCGATCTCCTGGATCATAGGTTGATGCTCAACTGCTGAGCCGTGCTGTTCGGGCCCTAAATATTCTTAATAATAAAAATAATATGGACACAGAATCTTATGATGAAAATTGTCTCCATATAACTGAAATGCTTTCTTAGGGATTAGCAACTTTTGTTAGTTTCCTCAGTGATTTATTTCCTTTTAAAGTAAATTTTTTTAATAAAAGGAAAATTTGCTTTTAGAAAAACTATAGAAATATGTAAGAAGGAGAACAGTACTACCCAGAAATGTTATATTTGGTATATTTGTTAACATTTTGGTATATTTTCTTCCAGTTTTTAAAAAATTTACCTTTATTGTTGAAAGTATTACAGGTGTCCTATTTATTTTTCCCCCATTGACCCCCTCCCTCCTGCACCCACCCCTCCCAGGCCTTCACCCCATTATTGTCTGTGTCCATGGGTTATGCACATCTGCATATAAGTTCTTTGGTTAATCTCTTCCCAACCCCACCCTTCACACCCCCTTTCCTCTTCCCTCTGAAATACAATAGTTTGTTGCATGCTTCAATGTCTCTGGGCTATTTTTTTTGTCAGATTATTTTGTTCATTAGCTTCTTCTTAAAGAAGACCCTTCAACATCTCATGTACTACTGGATTGGTGGTGATGAGCTCTTTTAGGTTTTTCTTATCTGGGAAGCTCTTTATCTGACCTTCAGTTCTAAATGATAGCTTTGCTAGGTAGAGCAATCTTGGTTGTAGTTCCTTGCTTTTCATTATTTTGAATATTTCTTGCCACTCCTTTCTGGTCTTCAAAGTTCCTGTTGAGAAATCAGCTGACAGTCATATGGGTGCTCCCTTGTAGGTAACTAATTGCTTTTCTCTTGCTGCTTTTAAGATTCTTTTTTGTCTTTAACCTTTGGCATTTTAATTATGATGTGTCTTGCTGTGGGCCTCTTTGAGTTCCTCTTGTTTGGGACTCTCTGTGCTTTCTGGATTTGTAAGTTTATTTCTTTCCCCAGGTAGGGGAAGTTTTCTGTCATTATTTTTTCAAATAGGTTTTTAATTTCTTGCTCTCTTTCTTCTCCTTCTGGCATCCCTGTAATGCGAATGTTGGGCCTCTTGAAGTTATCCCAGAGGCTCCTTCCACTACCTTTATTCTGTGTTCTTTTATTCTGGATTTTTTTTTTTTCTCTTCTGATGGAGTCTTTTTTGCTTCCTCATATTTCAATTTGCTGATTTGATTCTCAGCATCCTCTTTTCTACTGTTGATTCCCTGTAAGTTATTCTTCATTTCAGTTAGTGTAGCCTTCATTTCTGACTGGTTCTTTTTTATGTCATGATGATCTCACTAATTTCCTTAAAATTCTTACTAAGATCCTTGAAATTCTCATTAAGTTTTTTGAGCTCCTTATAACCATTGTTTTGGACTCTGTATCTAGTAGTTTGCTTGCTTTCATTTCATTTACTTCTTTTTCTGGAGGGTTCTACTGTTCTTTCCTTTGTGACATGTTTCTTTGCCTCTGCACTTTGGCTGCTTCCCAGTGTTTGTTTCTACATATTAGGTAGAGAGCTGCTATGTCTCCTGGAATTGGTAGAGTGGCTTTGTGTAGTAGGTGTCCTATAGGGCCCAGTGGCTCAACCTCTCCAGCCACCTGAGCTGGACCTTCTTGGTGCTCCTCTGTGTGGGCTGTGTGCACTGTCCTGTTTTAG